GGAGTAGCCAAAAGATTCTCCTATTTGGCTGACATTATTAACAGTAGCTAGTCCTGAGCCCATACCACATGCTGAAACAAAAAAAAGCAACCAAAAATCGATGGTGCAGATAGATTGCAAAAGATTCAGATTTTCTCCCCGTTCTGGAACAGTCCTTTCATTATTTATATTCATCTCTTCATCAGCATCGCACGAAATCTCTTGATGGCCCTCAGGATCTTGTCTGGTCTGCACGAAATTGTTGCCCAACTGGTTTCCATCATAAACCAATTGGTTCTGCTCAAGCAAGGATCTTATAATCCTCCTTGCCTTCTCCTTTTCGGCTTTAATTGCTATGTATATAGGTGGCACTAGCAACAAAATAAGTATGACAAAAGTAGAAATTCGTACTGCTGAACGAAATGTAAGGACATTCTCTAGGACTATTACTGCCATTAGATAACCAGCAAGAACTACAGCAGCCAACGAGAAAACATTAAGGTATTTCTTTTCGCCTACTTCATTAGTTGGAGTGATTCTTACAAACCACATTAGCAGAAGGGCAGTTATGGAGGGCAAGAGTGCCAACATCAAAATAAATGTGGTTGGCTTCTCGTTGAGAATTGTATGGTACACCTGAATCAATATTGCACCGCTCAAGCCAAGAAAGCCCTACAAAGAAAATATGAGAGCAGAGTATTGTCTTGCAAGTTGGAAAAAATATAGCAAACAAACAAAAAGGAAAAAAGGAAGAGAGAGAGAGAGAAGGAAAGGGACGCGAAAAAGTAAATCAAGGTTTAGAGACCATTGGCGAGTCAACTTCTTTCCATCAGATAGACCACCAAACTTTCACAAAGTATATGTTTCTGGCCTTCTTGTTAATTGCAGATGTTAAAGTAAACCAAAAATAATGTCCACACATGGCTTAAGTTAATGGACACTTGCAGAAGCAAATTTTCAAATAATTTTAACATTTTATATTGCAGTGGCTTGTTTCATTAAAAAATAATAATGATAACTATAAAGATATAGTTATGGTACTCTGTTAAAGATCAAGTGTCGATATCGATTAACAGCCACTTTTGGTTTCTGCCCTAAATGACTTTCATTAGCTTTACTAATACCAAAGAGAAGAAGTTGAATAGGTCTGCAATCCACCTTATTAATTTCTATCTCTGGTAAATAATCGACAAGAAAATCCTGTTGGATTAAAAAAAAATTTACTCAAACTAAAAATTGAGATATTATGCAAATTGGGAACGACAAAATTCAAGACCCTAATAAACATTTCTAATAGTTTGGTCAATAAACAAAACATTTTTCAGATGTAGTTTCAGCTATTAGGTAGTTGTCAACAAAAAATAACTAGAAAAAGGAGACAACAAAATATAAGCAAAGCAGACATATCACAATAGTAGATTCCACCCACATAATCATTGCTTTCAACAGAATCCAATTCAATTACCAATAAAACCAGAAAGTCTGTCCAAATAGATGTATCTATACAGGATGTCAGCTCATGTACATTGTAAACGTAGCTAAACACTTGTTCCAAATCAGAAATATAGCATTCGAATTGCCTAAATAGTCCTAATATTTTCAGATATTGCTGAAATATTAAAATCCTTTTCATGAACAAGGATGCCTTATTCAATCAAATTTATCTTGCAAATTTATCCCAAGCACCTTTAAAAATTTCAATTCATGATAATGGGCTTAGAGTTACATCTTGTTTGTGAATTTGACCTCCGAAATAAATATGCTTCACATGAAATCGGTGGGTGGACATCAACAAGTGCAAGCAAGGAAATAAATATTTGAAGTTGACGTTTTCACATAAAGGAGACAACCTTGTATGTATCTAAATACAATAAGAAAGCACTAATCATTATTGATTAATTCGTTTTACCTCAAAAAGTGAAAATAATTAGAAAATTTTCATATTTTGTTTTGAAATATACAACCAAATTAACATTTGTAAAATTTCCCAATCAAAATGCAATAGCCAAAAGCATTATAAGCAGCATCAGAATTGGGAACTTTAATCTCATTCATTTTTGTTTCTAAACCAAGTTTCCATCAGCAAAAAATGATGATTTGTATGAGGGAATTTCTAATTGTGTTTAGGTGAAATGCAACTCCTTAAGATGTTCCATCGACAAGAAGTAAACCAAAAGATAAATAAATAAAATCAATGGCTCATTTCAAAATGAACTCTTACTTTTGAAGAGTATACAGAAATTTTAATATATCAATTCCATTTTTTTTACAGAAAATATTGGGTTAACGATGGAGCAAATTCATCCCTTCATTTGGCTCATTATCAGTAACAAACAACTTAGAGATGAGGGCCTACTTTAGGAATTTCTTTTTCTTTTTTCAAACATATCCCCATCTTGACACTTCACTAAATTTTGATTAGATCAAAATTGATGATAAGGCATAGATAGAGTCTGAAAGTTATACCACCATTACCCTACGGACTGCCTACACCCGTGGAAGGCCCCAAGTCCCGACCCTTTTTTTTTAATACTTCTTAATTTAGTGTCATAATACCAACTACCCCTTTGAGAAAAGAAGTACCGCACTCAACTAAACATTAACCATGCCTAAAATTATAAATCCAAACTATCCGTAAAATGCAGAAAAAGTGGGAAAAAATGGGGAAAAGGGGAAAAAATCATAATATTAACCAAGCATAATGGTGCATTTGCCCGTGATTTGGGGCATAAAATATAGACACTTGAAGTCCTCAAATCTAGAGATTTTAGCCAAAAGCTACCCACTCCTCAGTGGATGAGTACCTTCAGAATTGAAATTTTGCAACTGATTTTCCAATTCGATATAAGCATGCATTCAGGGCTTAATGCTAAATCCCTCCACCCCAAGCAGTCTGGTCTCATTCAACAGAATGATGCAAATAGCTTTTAATACATTGGTATGTTTCATTATCGACAGATACCTTCGATTCTTATCTAAACACTGTATAGTCTTGTAGTTGCCACCATATCAGCTAAATCTACCATGGGAATTATTCTTTTGTTTGCTTAAAATACAAACTCAAACTAGAAATGCGGTCCTTAACACACAGACTCAAGCTAGATTAGTAACTCTGGCTATTTGTCCGTTCATTTTGTGCTTACTCTCCATCAAATTTTAGGAATCACAAGCTTGGATACAAACCATTTCACCGAGAGTTGTATTGGTAAAATCTCCAAGGCCAGATATAAGCAATGGGAAACTACGCCAGTGTTCCACAAACTAAAACAGTATAAGATTTATATGCCCTATACAGACATAAATTTGCATCTAAAATCACTCTCAGATATGAGTAAAATCTGCATTTCTAGATTCCTGATGTAATGGGGTATAGGCTTGAAGCTCTGTATCTCCTCGAAGCTCAAAGTCAAAGACCTTCTACCATTTTTTTTCCATCCGTCTATGGAACTAGGGCTGACTACTTACACAAACCAGAGATGGCCAGAAAAGATTGTTCAGAAAAAATCATCCTTTTTTCTCAACCTCTGTGTACAACAATATTCATTAGCACATTGAACGTTAACTTATCAGCAAACTGCATTCATAAAGCTCTTTTTTTTTTTTAATAAGAAACAAGCAGCAGCAAGGCCCCTAATCCATTCGATGAGCTTAGGCAGGTATCCATCAGTAGCTTGGGCACAAAAGCATCATGATCACTTACTCCATCATTGTAAAAATCCAATTCCAGTAACAAACACAAAATTGCATACTACTGCAGAGGTAACCAAACATTTTGAATGATAAGCTCCATGAATTACCCCAAACCAATACCAAGAAAAAATAAAGCTGGTAACAATGAAGGTGAAAGAAGAAAATTGTTACCTTCATGATGCCAACAACAGTCCCTTTATAATCAGGAAAATTATGAACAGCAGTAACCACATTAGCCGTATTAAAACACGTCGTTGCATTAGAAGCTAACAACATGTACAAGCCCATGAGCAGCACCGGCGGCCTCGGCAGATTCCCCACAACACTCATCCACATGAAGAAGTAGCCCACAAACACAAGGGCCGCCCCAGCTGCCAAAACCACCCAGGGCCCCCAATTCTGCTGCTGCGGCGGGGGTTGGTGACGGCGGAGTATAGGAGGCCGGAGAGCACCCCGACGTTGGCACCAAAATCCTTGAAAACAGAAATAGTGTCGAGGGTCGACTGATTATAGCCTGACTAGTTTTCAAGACTTGAGAGTAGATGGCGAAGGTGTAGGCTGAGCCACTGGTGGATTGAATCCAGATGCTGGCCGCCGTGGAAACCCATTTATTCTTCTTGATTATGGTTTTGTAACTCGGATTGTAATCAAGCTCCATACTTTTTTTTTTTTTGGGTTAATTTTCCCTTGCCCGTTTTGAGAAGCTTAAATTTTTCGATCCAAATCCATGCGAGCTTCTTTATTTGGAGTGGAGATTACTGGAGAATGTATTGTTGCTGAAACTCGAGAGTTTTAATAAATGAACGGAGGCCCAAGGAAAAAAAAGGAAGGAGGAGGAATGTACTAATACCGTCAGAGTTGCACATGAGTTGACTGAAAAGTGATGTAGGGGAGTGCGTTGGGAGGACTAGTTGTTGGCACTTGTTTTTTTTCCCCCAATTTTACCTTCAAAGCCATTTCTGGATTGTGGGTCATTTTGTTAATAGATTGAAAAGCACAGCAGGTAAGCTTTGTGAGACATTTCTGGATAAAATGCTTTAATGCAACAAATATGTGTAGTACAATTGGAGTATAATACATTAATTATATATAGAAAAAAAAATATCACCCACAAAAAACCATTCAATGTGAAAAAGGGGAGAAAATATACATGATTCTATGAAAACACTGAGGCGTGAGGATTCACATATTTGCCACAGAAACCTGATTGTAAGCGTTGAAGTGCCAGGCGAATTGCTGCTGTAAGCCATTCTTGAAACTCTTAAAGGTTGTGTACAGGAAACATTCATTGAAACAGCCTTAGTCAAAACTGGGCTGCTGCTAAGCCCTGCTCAACTCCGTATATTATTCACTCCAATCCCTGAGTAGAATTCAACGAAGACCAGGGATTCTTGTCCAATACCCGAGACAGAAGAATCTAACTCTATTGCAGTGTGCCTCAACCATCGAACCAGAAGCTGGGAATAAAACCTTCTCGTCCTGAAAAATAGTGCCAGTGCAACGAGGAATCCGAGGACAGTAACAGATGCCAAGATGAAGAAAGATGACATGAAGCAGTACTTGCCGTAGCATGTATTTTCTTCGCCTGTAGCATGTCTGTCATAAATGTAGCCAATGACTCTAACGGAGAGGACGTAAGATCCAATAGGACTGGCCACAGCAATCGTGTTGAATATGGTACCCAAATGTCGTACTCCAAATATCTCGGAGGTAATGGTAGGCATCAAGGACCATTGAGAGCCATAGCATACGCCGACTAACACTGAACCGATAAACAAGTTCCCAGAAAATCCGGAAGCAATAACCACATGGCCAGCAGTCATGGCTGCTAGCGTAAGAGCCATGAGCAAAGGCCTTGCCCAGCCTCTTCTGTGGAGGAATATATCCGATGCATATCCAGCTCCAAAGCGGCCTAAAAAGTTCCAGATGCTCCACAACGAAACCAGAGTACTCCTCTCAACAGTAGAGTAGCCAAGAGATTGCCCTATTTGGCTGATGTTGTTTATTGTGGCCAGCCCTGAACCCATCCCACATATCATAGCAACGAACAGCAACCAGAAGTTGACAGTTCTCATTGCTTGGAAGAGGTTTAACTCCGCTCCAAGGTCGAGCATATCCTCAGAGCCGGATTTGCTTTGAACTTCATCATCATCAGGATGAATATCCACGGATTTGCAGCTCGAGACGACGTTGTCTCCTGCTTAATTGGCTCAGCCTCATCCATCAAAGGAGTCCAACGGACGATGTGTAGTACGCGAGGTTCAACGAGCTATCACTCTGAGCTTTACATGCAACGCCCAGGGGCGAAGACAGCAGAGAAAGGAGGACAAGAAAGGTAATGATTCGAGACCATAGTGCAAAGTGATGGCACTTTCCAAGATTATTAGGATCATAAGGTAGGCAGCAACGACCAGGGAAACTACAGAGAAACCATTCAAATATTTTTCTTCTCATCTTTGGTGCGCGCTGCATCAATCTTGACCAACCACATAAGCAAGATGGAAATGAGACTAGGAAGCAGTGCGAGGATTAACAAGAAAGTGCTAGGATTGCCTTCAAACAAAGTGTCGTACACTTGAATTACAACTGCTCCGCTCAAACCTAAAATCCCTGCCCAGACAAGAATGCAAGAGTATGATGACTCTTCAATACACCCTCTGTGTAGCTCCGATCATGCATGTACAACTTGACAACAATTAACCCAAAAACCCCCAAAAAAGACGAATAGGAGAACATTAACTTTTGTTTCTTTTTAACGTTTTGGAAGAATAGGAGAGTAACTTTTATACTTCTTTTTAACGTTTTGGTAGTTAGCTGAGAAGTAATATGTACATATATTAGTTCCTCAAATTTCCTTCGAGTACTGCCTTTATTCTACACGTTAGTTCCTCAAATTTCTGTCAATGCTACATATATTTTACACGTTGGTTGAGGATCACTAGGGCATAATAGATGCCATGGTCTTCCAAGCCTATTGTAGTTTTAAGAAAAACTTTTTAAAAAATTGGGTTTAGACACAAAAAAAAAGGAGCTGTAAAACTTAACTTAGCATTTTGTCACAATAGCAATGGCATTAAATATATATATATATATAATATATATATATATACACGTGGATATGGACCGATTTTGATTAGGCATGCCGCAAATTGATTCGTCTTGACAAAATTCCAGAACTTAATAAACATTTCCAATAGTTTGTCCTATAAACAAAACTTTGTTGAGACCAAATTTCAGTTTCGCGCGTAACTATCCAGCAAAAAATAACTAGGAAAAAAAAAAAAAAGGCAAGGGATAAAACTGGTAAAAACCATGTAAATTGGATTGAACCATTGAACCGGCATTTTTTTGTTTTTGTCTATTAAATTGAAAAAAAAGAATAGATTTTTCTTAATTCTAAAGACTAATTATTAAATGCCACGTCCACTCACTTTTTTCTCATTTTTTGCCTTTCATCAAGTTTACATCTCTGTTTTCTATTATCCTGACTTCCTCCAGATTCCAAACTTCTATATATATATATATATATATATATATATATATATATAATTGCAATCTCTAAATTCTAAAAACGTGAATTAAAAATTTAAACTCATAATATCTAATTCCCATGGACGTGAATTTTGTATAATTTTAGAATATTGTGACAATTTTGGGTTGAATTTAAGATTATTTGGTAGACACAATTTATGCTGAGATGAAATTTATTTGTTGCAACTTATAATTTAAAATTTTTACTTGTGAAAATCCAAATTCTTTGAAAATATTAAACTTTTCACCCCATAAAGTCTTAAATTAGTCCATTGCATGTCTTATTTTATACATATATATTTATATACATTATTATTTTTTAAAAAAATTTATTGAACCAGGATTGAATCGATCCGACTGGTTAAACCTCGATCCGAACACATTACCGGTTCAATCAACTGTACGAGTTTCAAAACATTGCCTTGTACCCCAAAAAAAAAAAAAAAAAAAAATCATACTGGTGCATTTGGGTCACAAACCTCTAATAAGAAGTAAAAACCTCCATTTTAATGTAGACGGAATATTAGGCAAACATAAATACTAGTAGTAGAATTAACCATGCAGAGGTAAAATGTAGTAGTAGTAGTAGTAATAAATTAACAATAATTGAAGACGTAAGAAAGACATTTACCTTCATGATACCAACAATGGTCCCACTGTAATCCTGGAAATTATGAACAGCGGTCACGACGTTAGCGGTGTTGAAGAAAGTCTGAGCGTGAGCTGCTAAGAACATGAACAAACACATCAATCCCACCCCCGGCCGGTCAATGATTCCGGTCACCGAAGCCCACATCATGATGTAGCCCAAAAAGCATTGGATTACGCCCGCCAGGATCACCACCCAGGGCTGCCGTAACCAGCTCCGCCCTTGCCCTCTCCCTCTCCGGTCGGGTACCACGGCGGAGTAAAGGAATCCGGAGATGATCCCGACGTTGGCCCCGATGTCCTTGAACACTGACACGGTGTCCAACGTGGCCTGATCGTAGCCTTGGCTTGATTTCAGGATTGGTGAGTAGATTCCGAAGGCGTACGATGCTCCGCAGCTGCACTGTATCCATATGCTCGCCACGCCGCTATCCATTTGCTGCCGCTGCCGCGGTGCTGATGGCGGTGGCTATTCTCCATTCAATTCGGGCTTCTGCTTCTGAATTCTGAAAATTTTGAAAGGGCAGTCTAAAAGTTTAAATATGTGGTCCTGGACTCTTGGAATTTTTGTGCAGGTCTATACTCTTTACTCCGGTAGTAGAAAGGTTATGAGGAATGATTGCATTAGTTTCTGGCGGAGAAATGCAGCGTTGGTCCCCACCCAATGTTTAATCTCTACAGCATTCTAATCCCTGAAATTTTGATAAAAAATAAATCTGGCCACCAATGTTTGGCATCTTAAGCATTTTAGTCTTTAAAATTTCTGTAAAAACAAATTTAGTCCTCATTTTTTCAATTTGGAACCGATTTATGACATTTGACGAGTTTTCTTAGTTACCGACGAAATTGGTCACGTGCAGTCACGTGTTCGTTAATTTATTTTATTTTTTTTTAAAGAAGTGACTAACTTAGAAAAATAAGAATAACTCCACTTGAGTAATTAATTAACTAAGAAACTAAAAAACTTTTTTGGTTAAATTATACCCGAAAATTGGGTGTTAGGGTCTTCTGCTTGGAGACGGAGGGAGAGTGAAAACAAGTTTGGAATGATGAATTAGGCGCTCTAATTGGTTTCCATTTTGTAACATAACAAAATTCATTTTTTTTTGAGCTGGTTAATCAATTAGCATTTGAGTTATTAGTCCTTCATCTCTTTTTTTTTTTAAAAATAGCGGCTATTTTGCTTCTTTACTTTTATAATTGACTTTATGGACAAATGATTGTACGTGATTAAATTCTATCTATAATTAAGAAAATTCTTCAAATGTTCTAGATTTGCTTTAAATTGTGTATATTTTGGACTAGATTTGTTCTTGCCAAAATTTTAGGGACTAAAAACCAAAAGGTGCTAAACATTAGGACCAGACTTATTTTTGCCAAAATTTTAAGAACCAATTCTATATAGGTACTAAACATTGGAGACTAAAAACTAGTTACTATAACTGGAAATATTAGGAGCTTGGAATAAGATTGAGAGATACCGGAAAATATAAATAAATATATATATATATATATATATATATATCGAATATTTTGATTCTCTCGCTCATCCCAAGCCTTCTTAGACTTGGTGGTGCGGAAGGTCAAGAGTTCGAATCTTACCTCTCATAAAATTTGTCACAATATGTGACGATCTTCATTGACCACGGATACCCTACTATCTACCCTTTCTTTGTCTTTAATTAATTGTATATTGGATCGAATGAAGATATTGAGATCTCAAGTAGGTTGTCTGCATCGGTTTTTCCTTTCTCTTTTTATTTTATTTTATTTTTTTGTCAAAGGTCAACTTCTATATATCCTTTCTCTTTTTAATTAGTTTACTGAAGATCTTGAGATTCCCCGTTAGTTGTAAAGTCACAACTTTGCACCATCCGGTCAATCTTTGGGCTTGTTTAGCAAATAAATTTTTTGTCAAGTTTGTGTTTTATAAATTTTATAAATAATTTTATCTATAATAATCTCAAAAAAAATTTTAAAATTGTTAAACTATACACTTTAAAATACCTAAAAATTTACACGTTCCAAAAATTTTTTCTATAATTTTTACAGAAAATTACAGTAAAGTTTTATGACCAGTGGTGATGCCACATCACCTATTTAGTTCCTTGTTGTTTTCTTTTTTTTTTCGCTTTCTTAAAATTTTTTTGACAAGTTTTGTTGGTGCTTTTGGGACTGGTAGGGTGAAAAGCCGATTGATATTTATTATTCGTAGTACAGTGATCTAACATTCAGTCATTGACCGTTACACGCCAGATGATTAACCTAACCTTCATCATCAATTCAGTCAACCAGACTCCATCTGGGGTCCTTCCTTCATCGGAGGTAGCGAAAGTGAAACTTTTCCTTCGTTTTTTAGCTGGCAGGCAATGATGCAATTTAAGAGGTTTATGACCTCCAAAGCAAGAGTTGGGCGGGCCTCCCTCTACAAATTGTGTCCCATGCCTTCTTTTTTTGTTTAAACTTGGTCATTGTTATTTTCAAAGTAGGCATGACCATGGTTCCATTTGGAATCGTCGGAATCGGACCGTTTGAAACCGGAACCAAAACTATGGAACTAGAACCGTGGTAGAACCTTGGATAAAGGTTCCGGTTCTGGTTCTCTAAAAGATAGAACCAGAACTAGAATCGTCGGTTCCAGAACCGTTAAAAATAATTAATATAAGTAGTGAGATAATTCAAAAAAAAATTAGTTGTGTTTAATAGGTTTTAAGAAAATTTAAATTTTATGGACTTTCTATATATTTTATTAATTATTTAATTCTTTCTATTCATCTAATATCTATCATTATAATTTGTAAGTATTAAATTATTACTTACAAAATTTTTTTTTTGGCTTATTTGCTATCAAATGACAAGTTTTGATGGTAGTAATTCATCTTCAAAATCAAGCAAGCAAAAAAATATTTTTTGCAATATTTCTTCAAATGGAATCCTCAACATTGATGATTGTCCAACTCAAGAAAGTCAACACATGGCAACCATTTGATAGTGTAATGTATTTTTTAATTTGACAATGTAATGTACTTTTCATAAAATTTATATTATCTATTTATTACTTCTTACTTTGTAGAATAATAATAAAATTAATATATGATCTTTATTTTGTATATATTTTTTTACATTTTATTTGAAATTTTAAATATATTGTTATATCCGTATTAAATTTGGTAAGGATAAGGAATTAAATAAAATTGTATACAATCATACAAAACCGGAAACCAGAATCAGAACCATAAGGAACCAAAATCAGAACTATGCAGTTCTGGTTCTACCTCTTTGAAGAACTAGAACCGACGGTTCTGGAACCGTGGCCATGCCTAATTCAAAGTAAAAGGCCATCAACATTTTCGTCCTCAATCCCTTTCCTCGTAGTCATTGCTTTGGTGTAACTAGCTTTGTTTGGATAGAGTATTATTCCAAATAATTACTATAACACTTTTTGTGATGTAATGTATGTGAGATAAAAAAGTGATTGGATAAAAAAATGAATTGAAAAATGTATTTATAATACAAGCGAATTTTTTTTTTTTGAAAAAATTTACTATCCAAACATATGGAGTCTGTCATGCTCTATCAAGTGCTAACAACCGGAGACAACTTTTTTTTTTAATCTAAAAGGAAAAAAAGGACATTTATGTGTATCTTACCCTCTTTTCAATTTCTAACTTCTAAAATGAACGTGGAATATAAGTAATTATGCTTTTCTTTAGCATGTAGTGAGCATTATGTTTTTAGGCAAAAAGTGACTCCCAATAAAATTTGGGATCATTACTTTATTACATGAGGTCAATAGATTCGACGTGACCTTTTTTTTTTTTTTAACAAGGGAGGTGTAAAATTTAAGAAGTAAAGAAGAAGAAGAAGGGAGAATTGAACTTATAGATTTTCTAATTCTTAGAACCTCAGAGAGTCAGAGGTTCTATGTTATTAAAAATGAACGAAGCATTATGAAATAATTGTTTACTTATTGATAATAGTTTCATCTTAATGCACAAAATTTTCAAGGAAAGAAGTTAATAGTACTCTCTTTGACATTTTGACCATGCGGATTATACACAATACTCGTATATTTCATTGAATTATTAACCATCCATTTTTTAAAGTTGTGATTGAAATGAAGAATAAAACTGTTTTTATTCTTCTTCGCAAGTAAAACAAAAAAAAAATGTGATTAACAAATAAGGGAGTCCTATTATGGACTACTGTATACGCTATCAGTGTAGCAAAAATTAATTCTAATTTAATCCAAAAACTTATACTATCACATTTAACTCTAAAGCATCCATGGACACAACATATCGGGCATGTTTACCAGATAGTTGCACTGCCTCTATGGTTGGAAATTCCCGCAGGTGGGTTGTGTCAAATTGGATTATGTTTGCATAGAAGATTATTTTGAATGATATTGAATTTTTTTCATAATGTGATATATGCAAAATTAAAAAAAAAGGCAATTAGAAACATTTTTTTGATGCAATCAAATACTTTTTGACAAACAAGAAGATATTCATACAAACCCCTCCAAAATCATCAGCCAAGCTGGGGTGGTCTGATCAGGGCCTTTTAATTTTTGGCTTCTCCATGCAAACATTGGTATGGTAACACATATAAGTGGTGCGATTTTTTTTGTTTTAATTGAATTATCAGGAACTCACAATGATAAAAGTAAAACATTTGATAGACTGACATTAGAGCCAAGAATGCAAATTTATATGTCATTTTCACTTTCGAAGAGGATGGAAATTTTTATGCAAGTATTCTAGCCCCAAACTAGTCTTAATCTATTCTTCTTCGGACGTGGTTGAACCTCCTCTGGCTGGGGATATGATGCATGGGAGATAGATTCATGCAATAGGAACGTAACAGGTTTTAAGGCTTCCTTCTGGCCGCAATAACAATTTGCTAGGACGTTACAGGTTTTAAGGGTTCCTTTGGGCTAGAATTTGCTCCATTTGGATTAGTTATTTTTTGGAATATTTTTGAAATATTTTATCATAGCAATGTATATGAAAAAACTTTTATTGTAGATGCTTTTTGTGATGTTTTTAAAATATATTTTGAGATACCTTTTAAAACTAAAATATTTGTAGGATCCTTTCTAAAAAATAATACTACCACAACTACAATCACTACCAACACCACCCCCACCCACCGCCGTCACCACCTTCTCCCTCCTCCTTTCTCCAACTCCCCTTCCCTCTTCCCCTTCATTCTTCCTCCACCCATCCTCTTCCCCTCCAACTCTCCTTCTCTCTTTCTCCCAACCCTCCTCTTGCCCCTTTGATGTGGTCACGGCGTGACCACATCGAGAAGGGAAGGGAATGGAAGGGCTTGGGTGTAGGGGATGGGAGGAGGAAGAAGGGGAAGAGGGAGGAGGAAGAAGAGAGCGGGAGGGGAGGAGGAGGAAGAG